GGGCGGGGAAAGGAGAACTGGGGGGGGGGGGGGCTGGCATAAGACAGAGAATGTAAGCTGCTGAAAGAAAGTTGATATTCTGAATATTGATACATAAAATGGTCCAAAGATAAGAACATTTCTAGATATATAAGTTGGATCCAAAGCTAATAAAAGGTGGTTAATTTAACAATGCAATCCTGTACTTGAATGCTCAGAAGAAATGCCCATTGATTTCAACTGGATTACTCCCAGCTAAATTGGCATAGAGCCCTTAAGGGTTAGATAAATCAAGGAAGAGAGATTCTGAACAAATAAGGGAGGGTTGTTCTCATGATTTTCCTTTTAATAAGAATAAATTGGAGCAAAACAAAAATAGGAACAGGATGTCTTAACCACAAGGATGTTAAGGATAAGAATTAGTGCAGTAACACGGGAAAGTTATTACTGAGGCTTTGATTGTAATCGGAGCAAACCCACTGAAATCAATGGGGTGTATTAATTATGACAAACTTGTTTATATAATGCACCATGCTACACTCACTAGAGAAGTTTGTTTGTTTACTTGTGTTCCTCTATAACAGGAAAACTATATATGGCTCATTAAATCAGTAACAGTTCCTTTGATGATTCCCACCAAAGCTAATGGGAGCTGATACAGTGTTTCAGAATGAAAAGTCTCTGATGCTTATCAACAACTGTTTATTATGACATGTCATGTACTTGCATGCACATAAATGGTATTGAATCTGCAGGTGGCTTATGAATTCCTTGTGAATCAGTAGCATCTTTCACTAAAGCACTTAAATAATCCAGCCTTTAATCTCGAGGATTGGGATTTAATATGCCTACATACACATGGGTGGTCATATAATGACCTCATTGTGAATCATGAGCCCCTTCTCCTAAGTAACTGGTGATCTTGCTGTGAGCCCCTTCAATATGCAAAGGGAAGAGCCAAAAACAGATTTGGAATACCCCTTGAGCCCCATGATGTTGTGAGGCTTCCAGGGGACTTAGGAAGCTGAGCCGATTAACTACTGGTTCACTTCCTGCTCCAGCAGAAACACTGCAATGACTATTCTGCAGCAATTCCTCTGAAGCTGCTTTGTCAAGGTTCCTGGGATTTCCCCCTTCGTGCTAGGTGGAAAGGCCGTATGATGCCTTGCTACCATCTGAATCATCCTTCATGGTTGTATGGGAGGATAGCTTTGCCACTAAGAATGAGGCTGATGGCTATGTAGAAGTGTCCTTACCTTAAGATTTACCTATACATGTAGAAGAACACATGGGTGGTACACCAACCTCACTGTGTAAATCCATAACACCTTCCATTAACTATGTGGGTGATCTTGCTTTAATCTCAACGATTACGATTTAACCATGCAAGTCTAAACCACTAAGCCAGTGTTTGTGGAATGAAATCAGAAGTCTGAACCTGTAAACCAGTGTTTCCCATATGAAATAGCAAGTCTCTGCCACTTAAACTAGAGTGTAAATAATCTCCTTTCAACAAGTCTCACTCTTAAAAGGAAACAACAGCAAGAAGAAACCCTAGACCAAACAAAATCACATCTTCTAGCACTTCCTTATTAGCAGCATCTCTGTCTGATCACTCCCTCTCTCTTTTATGTATCAGGCAGGGAAAATAGGGGTGATGTTCTTTCCCAGGAATTATATCTGGGAAGTGTTATTTCCATTTCTCCCTCAATGCTGCACATGCTGTTCAATGCTCCCACTATTTGAAGGTTCCAGTCCCAGACATTTCAGAATAATTTTTTTTCCTGGCTAGATGCATCACAGCTTAGGTAAAATTAGACCATATCCAGGGAAATCCAGATGCACAGTAATCTTACTTATGTTCCATTCATTTCAATATTCATAGTTTTAACTATGAGTTGCTCTGCATCAAGCCCAATGTTATATGTTGTACAATAATAAAATGAGATTTGTAACAATAATTTAGACTGCAAAAGCTAAACAGTTAATTTTAAAATCTTTTAACATTAAATGTGCCCATCAAGTAATTGGACAGCAAATTAAAAAGAAATGTTTCAAGTATAATATGTGTGTGTGTGTGTGTGTTTTAAATGTACTGATTTTTTTTTTTTTGCTTCAATGGACATTTCTCAACTAGAAACTTGTACTCTTTTCATAGCATCACCCAGCTGTTGTTGAAGTGAGAGAAAGCCTTTCTTCATTGCATTATTTTGACATAACAATGGTTGGATTTACCCTAGAAGATTTTCTAAGTTGCTAGTGAGGAAATGCTAGTGAGATAGCACTTCCTATATCATATGAGTACATCATCTAAGAAAAGGGAAGTATATTTTTCACTGTTCAGAAGTACTATTTTTAATCTATAGGCAGATCTATGGTTATATATTTAACTCAAAATATACTGATTGACCAATTATGATTTGATTTAAAAAATGTGTTCATCCATCACCATGCTGGTATATAATTCACCCACGGGACTTCAGGAAAGTAACAGAATAAGCAAGCTGATGATGATCCAATAAGAAAGATCTCAGTTAAGCAGTTTGTTGAATGTATGAAAATATATCTCAGTACTGTGGCTGTTCTAATAGGTGCCCTCTATTATATGTATTGCAGTAAAGTTTTGAACACCATTTACAAAAACATGTACCAGTGCAACAAAAGGCTAATGAATAGGTGTAGTAATGTAGTCTGTAATAAAATGTCTAAGGTACATAAAGTTCCTAGGTGCCAATTACTGAAGCACAGGAGAAATTTTGCCACACCTGCTGTGTTTTACAGGCATTGTTTAAATAATGTACAGAAATATAGATGGGAGGTGTCAGGCTCCAGCTGGAAGCCAGACTGGAACCACTTAAGTAAGCTAATAAGAAAATCAAAGAACTGAGAATAAGTAATATTAAATGAAGAATGTAGAAATATTACCAAAATAATTTCAGCAATTGCAAATACTCAAGAACTAGTCCTATTTATAAAGATGGGTTCAAACCTTCTTACTTTTTGTTCTGACCTAGTTATTAGGCTATTTGACCCTTCTTTTGAACAAGCTGGCTTGTTTCCATCTGTCCTTTGTTTTGCAATTATCAGATTTGTTCTTAAATTGATTTTTACTGATACTGTAGTGTAAGACAGGATAGCAACTATGGGAGGCCTCTCTTGTCAACTTCTTCAACAGAGTCAGCTCCCTCTCCACAATCTTGAATGCAACTGTGGGACATATAGGGTAGCTTGTTCTCATGGCTATGTGACATCTGTGACAAAAATGCATCCCTTTTATCCAAAGAAAGACATTCCATCCATAATGAAGCCTCTGCACAAGTAGAAGCATTATTGGGCCAGATCTGTCCTTGATCAGAAAAGCCATACTGTATATGCATACAGCTATGCATAAGGGCCCCATGACATGTTGAAACACAGAGAGGTGGGGATGGGAAAGAAATTCCTTTAGTCCACATTTTAATCTGCTTTACCCAAGTTGGACTTTCTGAATGAGCAAATTAAATTTGACAAATCAATTCATCGCACAGAGACCTGTTTCTATCGCAGACATAAGGGGGAAGAATAGAACTAGTCCAAGAGTCTCTATAACTCTCTCCTATGTTTTCTGAGGCCCGAGGGGTTATGTGAAGCTCCATAATATAGCACCAGAAATTGGAGCAGGAAAGGATGCATGTGTCTAATACAGAAACTGGCCAATGGATTAACATCTAGCTGATAAGAATTATTATTCTTTGTGCTTAATTTCTCTCAGTGCTAAATCTCACACTCTTGAACTCCAGGGTTCATAATTGAAACATATAAAGTAATAAGGGATGCTCCCATGCCAATTAACTTACCCTTTATTTACTGCAAATATTTGGATGCTACCTATTTTCACAATTGTAATTAGAACAATAGACCCGTCTTTCACTATTTTTTTTAAAGATACTGAATATTTATTATCATGAAGGATCTGCATCAAAGGGGTTTCCTCACTGTTCATTTAAAGTACTATTCACCCATGTGTGAGCCAGCACAACATTTGTTGTTCTCATTGCTTATCCCTTTCTCACCATAGGGATAGTGCTGGAAAATGGTGGTGTTCTCATTTACT